TTTTTTGAAGTAGCAAACAAATTTTAATATATTTAATATAGTGTTAAATAAAATTTGCGTAAAATCAACATTACTTACTTGTCCTTTTTTCATACGACTTATAAGAATGTCCTCATATACCGGCCTGATATCGCCATACTGAAAAAAATAAGCAACTTATAGCAAATAAATGTATATAAATTTAACTTAATTCATGAAAAGATACATAATTTATAAATGAAAATCTACATTCATATACAAAGGTCTTTAAAAAAGGATTGAAGAATTTTTTTTATTAAGTAGTGAATGTACAACCTTCAAGCTTATTAAAAAATAAAAATAATCATAATAGAAAAGACATATTTATATAGCAAAATGAATTTGTAGTTCATTTTACTATAGAAAAGACATATTTATATAGCAAAATGAGTTTGTAGTTCATTTTACTATAGAAAAGACATATTTATATAGCAAAATGAATTTGTAGTTCATTTTACTATTACTATGCACTTATAAAAGAAAGCAAATAATTTTAATATCATAATTCAATAAATTGCTTAACAGACGAAGCCATCATTTGTGATGAAATATGCAAATCCATTATTTTATTTGTTATCACTTTGTGTGCAATATATATATATATATATATATATATATATATATATATATATATATATCTTTTTTAATGATTGCACTTATACCTTTAATTTTCATTAACAAAGTCCTACTCATAAAAGGAGTGAAATAGTAAAATAGTGTGTAAAATAGATAATATATATTTTTTATTAGTTATCCTAACACAAAATGAAGAGAGTACATTTGAAGAATTTTCAATATTTCATTTTATTAACTAGTACATAATAATTTTACATTGTTTAATCATAATTTAGGACAAATTACAAATTGTTATATTGCTCTACTATAAAATGATTTATAAGCAAAATTTATACATACTATTCAGAGAATTATGAATTTCAGCATTAAACATTTGATATTTTGTTATTATAAGCAGCTTTAGTTCTGCTCTGCAGACTTTGTTACTTTATTCCATTATAATAATTGTATATATCTATGGAAGCCTCAAGGTCAAAATCTAATTCAGCTCAAGATTTTGTGGAAGAAGTTGTTACATATGACATTCATAATACTATACTGAAATTAATTTTTTTTAATATTTATTATAGAAGCGAAATTTGTATGTCTTGTTCTACCTTTACTTTCTCTGAATATATAATTAGGTAGCAGCAGATTTTTAAAAAAAGCAGATTATTAACTTAGCAGATTTTTGAAGCAAATAAGCCTTTCAAAGCACATCAAAAAATAACATTGTATATAAAGAATTTGTTTAAAATCAAAAATATATATATCTTACAAAATTGCCAAGATGCTATCATAAAATTTTCCATATGATGAATGCTTGCGAATTAATTATCATAACAAAAACTAATTGATACTATGATAAATTGACTTGAACATTTTGAATTTGAATTTATGGCTAATTTTCATACTATAACATTCATAATACTATGGCAAAAGTAATTTTTTTAAATATTTGTTATATAAAAGAAGTTTGTATATCTTGTTCTGTCTGTAATTCCTCTGAATATATAATTAGATTGCAGCAGATTTTTAAGAAAAACAGCTTATTAACCTAGTAGTTTTTTGATGCAAATAAACATTAAATTCGAAGCACACCAAAAAATAACATTGTAAATAAAGAATTTGTTTAAAATCAAAAAATATATATTTTACAAAACTGCCAAAACGTTATCAAAAAATTTTCCTTGCGACAAATGCTTGCAAATTAGATTATCATAACATGAAAAACTAACAAATAACCTTATAAATATTTAAAAAAAAAACCTCAGGCTAACCATTATTTTGATACATTAAAAATCATCTAATAATATCTATACAAGACTTGAAATACTTGTTTTAAAAGAGTAAAAAAAGTAACTAAATTGAAACCATAAATACAAATACTACTAAATTTTTATATTTAATTTTATTTTGTATGAGCTGGTATGACACAGCCTTAATATTGTATAAGTAAATATATTTTACTTTATAAAAGAAGAAAATCTTGATTCAATTCATGAAAAATAAATACAAATTACAAAAAAGAAAATTTTCTAAATAACTTAATGTATGAAAAAAAGATTACAAAAAACTACAAGAGATAAATATACATTCATACAATCTCTCAATTTCATTCCAAAAATTCATATATTTAAGCAATTATGGTTTTAATATTTAAAGCATTATCATCAGATGTAGAATTCTATATCTTTAAAGATGTTATGTAGGGAATTTGAAATTCTAAAATATTCCAAATTTATATAAAATAATATTTTATGCAGACAAAAAATAATCCAAAATCTAAAGTAAGAATACAACTACTCCATCAATTTCATTCTACTGCAACTTTTTTGTTATAAACATTGGGTCAAAATGAAAAATATCTATTCCGATTTCTTTTCATTTATTTATAAAAGAGCTCCATAAAATTGATTTAATTTTGACTATACAAGAAAAAAGTTACAAAGGAAAAAAATGGACACATCATATGATACTGCTTTTATGTTAGATGGACAGCACATAAGGATTTACACATAGATCTTTTGTCTTAAATAATTTAGGGTTTTGTATTAGGTTAAGTCTAATGCAGTAATAAAACATCCCAATATGAAATCATAAATTTCCATAAAATAATAAACTTTTGTTTTTCAATACCTATTAAAATTTCTAATTACCATTTACTAAAATACTTCCATTTCAATGATTAAGACTTCTTGACTTGTTAAATGATTTTTAAAAAAATGTCATAAAAGATATGGTAGTTTTTCTTAAAAATTTCCAGTTTTTCTTATTGATATTATAGTTAATTATTAACTAAATTTTCTGCTCAACAACTGTTATTAGAAGTAGTCTATTTTAAATATAACCCGAAAGAATTAATTTTTCAAATGTGGCACAATAAAGCTAAAGGGTCAAACTTTCGATTTAATTCATGAAAAATAAATACAAATTACAAAAAGAAAATTTTATAAATAACTTAATGTTCATGAAACTAATAAAACTGTTTTTAAAACATAAAAATAAATAAAGCTTAAAATTAGATTCTTAATAAGAAAAATTACCCATTCTTTTTGACCTCCAATTGGAACAAACTTTAAATCACCCGACATCACTGCAATAAAAAGATCAAAAGCATTAATAAAGTAAAAACAGCACAATATATATTTAAAAAATCAAAAGAAAAAAGGAAAATTTTAAATAATAAATAATATATATTGAAAAATTAACTTGCATTTTACACTACACAAATTTTATATAAAATTTTAAGAAAAGCACAAAAAATATAAAAAAAATATACATTACCTTTTTCATGAATTAACTTTTCAGTTTGATTGTCATCAGCATAAGCTCTGCTAGGAGCTTTTTCACATTTTACTTTTAATTCAAATTGGATTGTATCTTCAAAAGTAGCATTATCATCATCTAAAAAGTTAATTATCAAATTAATTAAACAACAGAATTAATAATATTAATGGATAATTTTCTGTATAAATGTATTTTTGTAACAAAACTTTTGTTGATTCTGGGCAATTGTGGGCCACTTATGATTACTACCTACTTGGTTAAATTCTATCAAGTTCTTGATATAATCACAAATTTAACCAATCAATTTGTTAAATTTGTAATTTTATAAAGAAGTTATAATGTGCAGAGATAATATGCATATGATTGTAGACACTGTGAAAAGATCTGATGCTTAAATTTTAATTGACATGTTAATAAATTGTTTCATTCACCATTTGTGAAACAAGATAAAAGTGTATGACCAAATTGGCTGTACAGTTAATTTTATAGAGAAAATGAAGTTCTGTGATAAAACATGAAGTTTATTTATAATATGACTAATAAGTGAATAATTGGATGAGGGTCTATGACCAATAATTGATAAACATGAAATTTAGAGAGCGGTTAATTGTCTGTGGCTGTAATATCTAGTACCAGATAATTAGCAATATGAGAAAGTGAATGGCAGTGTAGAAATAAATGAAATGATTTACAACTTCTGAGAAAAGATATGAGGTTTGGTTCTCTACAGTCATCTTGTGCACACAAGGGCTAAGCAGACAGGGACCTACAATTTAAAGTGGACTCTGAACCACTACAAACATCCATGGCACTGCCGGGAAAAGATGTGAGGAGTTTGTAAAAATTGTTAACAATGGAAAAAAGCCTTAACAACAGTGAACTAAGTAATTACAGATATAAAAATAATGATGCAAAAATGTTTTGGAGGCACCATTTCTTTAAAAGATATTCTTAATGTTTTTTTTTTCTTTCTGTGTTGATTCTTTTCTGATTATTTATTCAGAGCAGTTGATTAATAATGATGTTATGGTGTATTTTAGTACTGACACTGAAGTTCTAGGAGAAAATATTTTGATTCTAATGTTAAATTCTTTTCTTTTGTAAAAAATATTGATTTGTGAGGAGTTATGAATGTTAATACTGCTATGAAGAAAATCAGCTAGAAGGTTATTGGTATTATGAGCTTTTATTATTATTTTTTTGTCCCTGAAATCAACTCTATTAGATTATCATTATGAAAAGTTTTAAGAAAGTTTTGATGGATGAATATAATTAGGTCATCAACATATTTAACATGTTTGTGATTTAGATCATTTTTTTCGAAGTAGTGTAAGTAAAGATTAGCAAATATTGATGAATATTTAGTTCCTTGAAAAATTCTTTGAGTTTGAATGTAAAGAATTCTTTTTATTGTAAATATAATTATTAAAAATGTAGAAATTACAGTTTTTGATCTTGCTGTTTGAGGTATCTTGGAGGCTTTTAAGGGGGTTGTCTATAAAGATATCCTTAAAATCAAATGTATTTAAAGAAAAAATATTGTTTTAAGTCATTTAAAAAAATTTAAAATAGGTTTATTGTTATTGATAATCCAAGAGTATGAGTCTATCATAATGGTATTAGAATTTATTTTAGCCAACGGCCATACCATGCTGAATATACTGGTTCTCGTCAAGTTAGTCAAGCATCATTAGGTGCGGTCAGTACTTGGGTGGGTGACCACATGGGAACACAGTGTGCCGTTGGCATTTACAAATTTGGGACCTGAATGGCCGAGTGTCTAGCGCTTTGGCGCCACAGGTTTCGGGGTCGAATCCCGGCAGTACCATGGATGTTTGTAGTGGTTCGGAATCCCCTTTAAGCCATAGGTCCCGGTCTCCTATGACTGTAAGAGCGTCACGGAGCCAAAGTCAGGCTTCTACCTACAGGTGCTCCATCACAGCAGAAGCTGCTTCCTTCCCCTTCAATCATGAGTACGTATGGGCTCGTGGGCTTGGCAAGCCAAGTGGGATAAGAAACAACAACAGAATTTATTTTAGGAAGATTAAATAAAATCTCACCTGCTTTATCCCAAAAATGTAGTGATACTACAATAAGTTACTGAAGTTTCATGAAATTTGAGAGTATGTTTCAAAAGTTAAAAAAAATTTATTTCTTTAAATAAGAAATGAATGAATGAATAACAGAATTTTGAAATATAAACAATACACAACAAATACAAACAAATAATAAGGAACATGAACAAATAATAAAACAGGTACTCACCACTTGATTTTGAAATAAAACAATGAGGATTTGCATTTATGGGAATCAAACCAATACGATGAGTTAAGACTTCATCAGGAATAACAGTTGTATTATTATAAAGTTCGATTTTGTCAATTGCCATAGTAGGAATCTAAGAAAAACATTAAACTAAATTAAAATTCAATACTTATACATTATACAAAAATCAAGACTTCAGGCGATGCTATAAATTTTTAAACCAATGATGTAATCACTAACCAGCATTCTTAGCTGAACAGCCACTACATTTGTAATGAATTCATAAATATTTGAAAACATTTTTTTCTTCCCTGTTTAGTTTAAAATTGTTTCAAGAATTAATCTGATTGTTGTATTGAATATACATTGTCTTTAAAAGTCTTATGTAAACAATAGCTGAAAATATTGTAATAGTATTTGTTTGTATTTAATCAAACAAGAATGAGAAATTCGATAATGTTAGTTCTGAAATTTTTAAAGTAATACAATTTCATAGACTCAGAAGACATAAAATCAGTTGAACAATTGTGATGACAAATAAAATGGTAAAATAAGAAACATTGTGGTATAATCTGATAATACAGATTTTTCCTGAGACATGTTCAGACCAGAATAAAAATTATTTCATAACAATTTTGTCAAAAATTTAAAAAATAAGACTTGTTGAAACTTGAAAGATACTACATAATTCATTTGTTTTAACAAAATTAAATTCTGATGTCCATATTAGATGTTTATTCATATTATAATCATATTGTTTTATTTCTTCCTGTTTTTTAATTTGAATTGTTTTTCACTTTTATTTAAGAACAATTAATAGCATTTTTAAGAAGTCAGGTTCAGTTATAATGAATTAGAACCAAAAATTATTTTTAAAAAAAGGATAATTGACTTTTTTTAATTAATAAACAGGACAACAACAAGGCTACTTTTTTAAACATTATTTGATTCTAAAAAGTCTAAGTCATATTAAAAAAAAAATCTCCTTACATACTTGTAGAACATACAGATAATGAAACACTATCATACATGTGTGGTCATTTTTTATATTTGTTAAAATCTACAACACTGATAATTACTATTAATTAATTCATATCAATTGAACTTTATTGTTAACATCAAAGTTAATTTTCAGTAAAAAAATAATTAAAAGACCAAAGTGTGAATTTTTTTAGTGACATTTCATACCCTGTAATATATTCCTTCGAACTTTATATTAACTTATGAAGAAATTATTAAAAATTCAGAAAAAGATACAAAAATAAATTTTATACAAAGATTTTGTGCCTTAATATCTAGCTACATAATGGAAGCAAATATAAAATACACTTTATTACTATTTGAAATTTAAAAGAACTTACTTCAGAAAGCAGTATTCTTCTTATAGCATTTGCAATAGGTGGCCCAACACCTTTCATATCAAATTCAATATCCTTATTCAGCTCATTTACACTAATAATTTGAATTTGAAAACCCTGAAATAATATAACAATAATTATTAATAAAACTAAAATAAAATGTAGTGAGAAAAGATAATGCAAGACAGAATAAACAAAATCTATTCGATATTTGAAACACAATATGAAAGTGTTTTCTAAATTTTTCCCAAAAAACATGCTTATTTGAGGAAACTTAAAAAGAAAATCAGCAATTATATAATAAAAACCATCATTATGTATATGTATAGACTGGATATCTATAAAAGATATATAAATAATTCAGACAAAAATATTAAAAAATGATCTTTACTGCAAATCTACATCGTAAGAGCATGTGCATGTGATGCATCTTAAAATAAGTAAAAGAACAGTAAATGAAAGTCATAAAGGAATGTTGAAGGCAATGGCAATGTGAAATCACTTTTTGTCCGTAATTTTAAAAATGAATCACAAATCAACTGACAAAGAAAAAGAGGCTTTTTGCAACAAAGAATATAACATTTGTGGTATGGCAGCATTGCCAGCTTGTAAATGCATAAGCAGTGCCATTTTTCTGGAACAAATAATTCCTGGTAATTGCAATGCTAACCTAATCAGACACTTTCTAATAATGTTTTAATTCAGAAATCCTTCAGACTGTGTCCAGAAATCAGTGTAATTGGGATAGCAACATGATGTTTTAAGAGTTTATTTTAGCAAATGGCATTGAACCATTGGTATTGCATATACACAGTCACTAGTGGAATTGATGCCAGAATGAATAGGAGAATGAGCAAAAATCACTGCACATCTCATCTGGTTGTATGCCCTGTAAGATCTAAGCTGTTATAAGGGTACATGATTATATCACCAAGTATAAAGTTTATAATTTTATAATATCTTGTTTACAGTGTTTAAGTATTCTTGTATGTATATACATAATGGATATATTTATCTACAATATTATATCCATAGAAACTGATTCTTATAAAAAACCAGTCACATGATCATGTGAATATAATAGAATAGATTGAATCTATACATCATAATATACATTGATATATTAAAAATAATTACTGAATATTGCTTCTAAAGAAATTTCTTTTAGAGTTATATCAATGATACATTTCTTTTTTTCTTATAATGACAAGTATGTATCTGTATAAGAAATCAATGGATCTATAAGATTATACAATTTCAGTGGCTTTTGCTTGGTTTTATTTACACAAATGACTTGAATGTTTCTGTAAATTTTTAATTGGAGAAAATGCCACAAACCTTAGATTTTCCTTAACATTGTAAATTGAATTATTATTAATATTTTACAGATTTTATTGCATTAAAAAATTAAACACCCAAATAAAGTGAGAAAAATGCTTATAAATAAAAAATTGTAAAAATTATAGTTTTTCAACAAGGCAATATTATATATTAATTAAATCAACCTTTACAAAATTAGTTCATAAATATTTTTATGCCAAATTTTGTTTGTCCTTTTTTTAAAATTTTGTTATATATATATATATTAATATTTATTATTTACCTTAAATAATTTAATAAGACTATTTTTAATAAATTAATGTTTAGAAAAAAAAATATTATGGTACTTACGTAACGCCACCGCAACAGAAGTTGCGCTAATGCGCCAAAATAGAGATTATTTGAATCTATGTTAAACGCTATATCGGCCTATTTTCCACCGAAATCCGATCGACTACTTTGTTTTTAAATAAAGTGTTTTGAATTTTGAAAGTGTTGTGAATTTAAATAAAGTGTTTGATATATTTTATGATTTGTCACAAAAATTTTAAGTGTAGATTGGCACCACTTAAAAACCGCCAAATCTGTAGCCGTGGTGGCGTTCATATGTAAGTACCAATATTATTTTAAGATATTTAAAAAAATATGTATTCACTAAAAATATATATACATTTAGAAAATTTACCTCGATCAATTCCTTTACAGTCGGTAAATTCTTTCCATATTCAGATCCTTCAAATTCTCCCTTATAATAAAAGAAATATTAAAAAGTTTAAATTAAAAAGATACTTAAAACTATGTTTATTTCAATATAAACAGTAACTTCTTCAGAAACTCTGATATATAAGTGCATATTTAATTGTTCTATTTAACTAAAATTATTCTGACAGAATTTTTTTTTTACCTTTTAGATAATTATTCATAATTTCTTAACAATGCGTCCAAAATATTTTATTCTACATAAAAACATGGATTCATAAATATTGTAAAATATTGTATAGGTCGCTATATCATAAAAAATGAGCTCAAAGATCTTCCATGATGTCATCTTAAGAAATAGTATAGGATAAGTCTGTGACACTAGTGAAAATGTGAAGAAATTACGTTTCATAAAATAATTTTGGTCTTATATGGTAGTTTTGCACTATGGGCACAGATGCCCGTCTAAAATTTAAAATAAAAATATTATTTGTTCTAAAAAATAAATAGTAATAATAATAATAGAAGTAATTTAATAAAAAGTAGACTAGATTTTAAAAAAAAAGCATGATAAGTACATTTAAGATAATTAATTGTATACAAACGGTTATTTAACTTTGAAGCTATAATATAAATTTTTTCATGTCTACTGCAGTATTCAAATAAGGGATAAAGTATACTTCACAGATTTTATTCAAAATAAAATTCCCTGCCTTTTGAAGAACATTAAAATTATCATTATAAACTTTACTTATTTTTTATCCAACAATTCAGTTATTTTATCTCACTACTATATCCCATCCGTAAGAAAAAAACATTTTTTTTCTTTTTATCTTAAAAATATAATCACATGAAATACTTAACACTATGTTTTCTTTCTTTGCGAAATGAACAGTTGATGAAAAACTGATAAATGTAAAATTTCAAAGATAAATGCTTAAAACTGGTATGTTTATAATCTCAGGAAGATTTTTTACAGAATTGGAGGCAAAAATATTTTGTACAACTTTATGTTTTTAAAAATGGTCCGAGACCCTTTCTAAGTAGTCTTAAGCTTCAAATCATTTGGGGGTATGCAAGAGGAAGAGAACAGGAGATTTGA